AAGGTAGCTGAATGGATAAGAAAACATGACTCATGTATATATGCTGTCTACAAGAGACCAATCTCAAAACAAAAGACTCACTCACATAAGAAGAGAGGGAAGGGATGAAAAATAATTTTCCATGAAAATGGAAACAAAAAAAATAACCTGGGGTAGAAAACTCATATATGATAAAAAATAGAGTTTAAAATGAAAGCCATAGCAAGTGATAAAGAAGGCCACTACGTAGTACTAAAAAGATCGATCCAACAATAGAATATAACTCTTGTAAACATATATGCGCCCAATACAGAAGCAACAACATATATTTTTAAACTTTTGGAGGACTTTAAGGAAGAGGTCGACAGCAATACAATCATAGTAGGGGACTTTAATATCCTACTAATATCACTGAATAGATCTTCTAGAAAAAAATGAACAAGGAAACAGAGACCCTACATGACACACTAGAACCGATTAAATTATTGATATTTACAGAGCATTTTACCCCAGAACTGCAGAATATACATTCTTTTCAAGTTCACCTGGGACATTCTGAAAGATAGACCACGTGTTATGAAACACACTAAGTCTCTATAGGTTCAAGAAGATTTAAATCAGATCAAGCATCTTCTCAGATCACAATGGCATGAAACTAGAATTCAATAACAATAAAAATACTCAAAAACATCTAAACACATGGAGGCTATATAGCATATTATTAAACAATAAATGGGTTACCAATCAGATCAAGAAAGACATCAAAAACTTCCTGGAAACTAATGAAAATGAACACACAACACAAAATCAATGGGACACAGTAAAAGTAGTCATGATAAAAAAGTTCATAGCATTACAAGCCTACCTCAAGAAATAAGAAAACTTTCTAATAAACTATGTAATCCTACAACTTATGAATGAGAAAGAGAGAGTGAGAGAGAGAAAGAAAAACCCAGAGTAAATAGGAGGAGGGAAATACTAAAAATCAGAGCAGAAATAAATGACATAGAGACTAAAAAACAATACAAAAGATCAATAAAACCAAGAACTGGTTCTTTGAATAGATAAGATTGATGAACCTTTAGCTAGACTCACAAAGATACAAAGAGAGAGGGCCCAAATAAATAAAATAAAAAGTGAAAGAGGTATAACAAATGACACCACAGAAACACACATAATTGTAAGAAAATACTATGAACAATTATATGCCAAAAAATTGGACAAAATATGAACAAATTCCTAGATTCATTTAATCTTCCAAATCTCAACAGGAAGAGTCAGAAAACCTGAACAGACCATTAACAACTAATGAAATTGAAGCAGTAATTGATAAACTCCCAGCAAACACAACCCTGGTTACAGTTCACAAAGGAATTTTTACTCACATTCAAAGAAAACCTAACACCCACTCTCCTCAAACTATTCAAAAAAATTCAGGAGGAAGAAAGACTTCCAGATTCTTTTTATGAAGCCAGCATAATTCTTATTCCAAAATCAGATAAAGACACTACCAAAAAAAAAAAAAATTACAAGACAATATCCCTGATGAACATAGATCATAAATGCCATTGCCAAAATCCGCAACAAAATATTATCAAATTGGAACAAGCAAATATTTTAAAAAAATTATTCACCACTACCAAATGGGATTTATCCCAGGGATGCAAGGATAGTATAATATTCACAAATCAATAAATGTGATACGCCACATAAACAAAATAAAAGATATAAATCATAAGATTATATCAATAGATGTAAGAAAAAAAAAAAGCATTTGACAAAATCCAGCACCCATTTCTATTAAAAATGCTCAGCAAAGTGGGAATAGAGTGATCATACTTCAACATAATAAAGGCCATATATGACAAAACTTCAGTTAACAACATACTCAATGGGCAAAAATTAAAAGCAGTTTTTTTAAAGAACAGGAACAAGACAAGGATGTCTGCTTTTGCCATTCTTATTCAACATAATACTGGAAGTCTTAACACAGTGATCAGACAAGAAACAATAAAAGGCATCCAAATTGAAAAAGAGGAATGAAACTGTCATTATCCACAGATGACATGATATTGTACTTAGAAAATCCTAAAGACTCCCCCCCAAAATCTACTAGATTTAATAATCAAATTTGGCAATGTAGCAGGATACAAAATTAATGTCAAGAAATCGACGGCATTCTTATACACCAATGATGTGATCACAGAAAGAAAAACTAAAAAACAATCCCATTTACCATTGCAGCAAAAAAATTAAGATACCTAGAAATAAACTTAACCTAGCAGGTAAAAGACTCTCAGAAAACTACAGGTCATTGAAAAAAGAAATAGAGGAAGATATTAAAAAAACGTGAGAGCATATACCATGTACAAGGATTGGAAGAGTCAACATCACTACAATGTCCATACTACCTAAATCAATCTACAGATTCAATGCATTCCCTATTAAAATATCAACAACATATTTCACAAATCTAGAACAAATACTCTAAGTGTTTATATGGAATCAAAAAAGATCTCAAGTAGCCATAGCAATCTTGAAAAAGAAGAACAAAGTGGGAAGGCTCACAATACTGGACAACAGGTAATACTACAAAGTCATTTTAATTAAAACAGCCTTGTACTAGCATAAAAACAGGTATATAAATCAATGGAACAGAATAGAGAACCCAGAAATTGACCCATGACATTATACACAGTTAATATTAGACACAGGAGACCATACAGTAGAGTAAAGACAGTCTCTTCAGTAATTGGTGTTGGGAAAATGGGACAAGTACAGGCAAAACAATGAAACTAAGACCACCAACTTACACCATACACAAGAATAAACTCAAAATGGATAAAATACTTTGATGTAAGTTGTGAAACTATAGAAATCCTAGAAGAAAATGTAGGCAGCCCGACCAGTGTGGCTCAGTTGTTGAGTGAAGACCCATGCACCAAAAGGTCACCAGTTCAATTCCTGGTCAGGGCACATGCCCAGGTTGTGGGCCCAATCCCCAGTGAGGGCATGCAGGAGGCAGCCAATCTCTCTAACTGATGTTTCTATCTCTCTCTCCCTCTCCCTTCCTCTCTCTCAAAAAGCAATAAAGAAATAAATTTTAAACAACAACAAAAAAGAAAATGTAGGCAGCCAAATTGCAGAATCAGTAGTAGTGGAATTTTCACCAATACATTGCCTTGGTCATGAGAAACAAAGGAAAAAATTAATGAATGGGCCTATATCAAACTAAAAAGTTTCTGCACAGCAAAAAAACAAACAAAACCAGCATCAAAATGAAAAGGGAAGGCATTGTACGGGAGAATATATGTGACAATGATACATCAGATAAAGAGTTAATATTCAAAACATATGAAATTCTCATACAACTCAACAAAAGTAAGACAAACAATTCAATTAAAAAATGGGCAGAGGACCTGAATGGACACTTCTCCAAAGAGGACATACAAATGGTCAAGAGACATATGAAAAAAAAAAAATGGTCAACTTTACTCATCATCAGAGAAATGTAAATTAAAACGACTATGAGGTATCACCTCACACATGCCAGAATGGCTACCACCAACAAATCATCAAACAACAGGTGCTGATGAGGGTGTAGAGAAAAGGGGACTCTAGTACACTGCTGGTGATAATGCAGACTAGTGTAGCCACTATGCAAAATAATTTGGTGCTTTGTCAAAAAATTAAAAATGGAACTACAATTTGACCCAGTGATTCCACTTCTAGGAATATACCCTAAGAAGTCTGAAACACAAATCAGAAAGAATATATGAACCTCTATGTTTATAGCAGCACTATTAACAATAGCTAAGATCTGGAAACAGCCCAAGTGTCCATCAGTAAGTGAGTGGATAAAAAAGCTGTGGTACATTTACACAATGGAATACTATGCATCTTAAATAAGTATCTATTACCCTTTGAGACAGCATGGAGGGACCAGGAGAGTATTATGCTAAGTGAAATAATCCAGTCAGAGAAAGACAAGTATCACATGATCTCACTTATTTGTGGAATATAATAAGTGAACAAAATAAACTGACGAACAAAATTGATCCAGAGACATGGAAGTAGAGAATAGACTGACAAACCTCAGAGGGAAGGAGGGAGTGGGGGCAGGAAGAAATAAACCAAAGAACATACATGCATATATGCATTACCAATGGGCACAGACAACAGTACAATGAAGGTTGGGGGTGGGGCAAGAGCAGAGTGGAGGGTGTCAATGGGGAAAATATGGAGGGATAGCTTTAATACTTTCAACAGTAAAGATTAAAACAAACCAAAGGGGGAAAAAACAAACAAACAAACAAACAGGCATCAACTTAAAAGTTGGGTTGAAAGAATGTTAAATATTTTACAGGCCAAGCTAATCATATCTTATTTTATTTTTTCATAAGACATCGGGGAGCCATTCTTTGATGACTCCATTTGTAAGATCTGTTGGAAGTGGAAAGACTGAAGCTAAAGGAACCAATGAGGAGAATTAGAAAATATACGGCTAGCAGAAGCAGTGTCTGCTGGAATGGACAAGAGAAGAATAAATTCAAGAGATATTTCTTCAGACAGATGAACAAAAGTTAGTGACTGATTTGGGTGGTGGGGTGAATGATGAGGAAGGAATGTATGCACAGACTTTAAATCAAAAGCCTTCTTGAAATCAGCTAGCGACAGTTGGGAATATCTTCAATCGTGATCTCAATGAATGAAGTCCCACAATTCTATCTCTTTCAATCTTCTCTATTCAACAGCAGCAACAATTGCTTCCATATAACTACCTTTCCTCCAGTCACCTCCATTGAGGTTTATGTATATCTTCCAGTAAGTTCACCTCCCTAAATTCTCTTAATCACCTCAGTGAGCCTTTATCATGATCTCCCCTTTTAAATTTATAATATCTGAGATGTCCCTCACCGTATTTCTAGTTTACTCTTAGAAGGAAATGAAGCAACCTAGTTTTCTCTGTGTTTCCTGAAGGTCATAGGCTGGGGAATTACCTTATCAGCACTTGTTTGACCTTAGTTCCAGGACTTTGGTGGCTCAAGGCTGAAAGGAAGCATGGGTGGGGGTTGGGAACAGGGCAGATGACCAGCAGGGTTTGGATGCAAGATGGAGTACGAGTCTTCAGACTGGTGGGGTTGAACAAAGGAACCACACGTAGAGGGCTGAGAAGAAAGAGCATGATTGTAGGGGTGAGGAAAGCAGGTCCCTGGTTGAGATGGTGTTGAGTAGGAGTAAGGGCAAACAGGAGACTTGGGCAAGGAACCAGAGCAGGTGGCAGGAGACAGATGGGCTAGTGGCTGGAGCAGTGACCGCTCTTGCTTCCTCTGCTTAGCTCTGCGGTTCTGGAACCAGACCTGAGGAGTGGGGAGAATAGCTACATCAGAAGCCTTCTCCCAAATAGTTGGAACTATTACATTTGACTCCCTCCCCCAATGACAGAAGATACAGGTACAGATCATCAATGTCTCCCACATCACCACATGAAGTAAAGCTCTCTACAAGGCATATCTGGCTCGGCCAGTGTGGCTCAGCATTGAGCGTTGACCCATGCACCAAGAGGTCACCAGTTTGATTCCCAATCAGGGCACATGCCCAGATTGTGGGCCAAATCCCCAGTGGGTGGCATGCAGGAGGCCAATTGATGTTCTTTCTCATCAATGTTTCTTTCTCTCTTTCTCTTCCTCTCTCTTGAGAAATCAACAACAAAAATAATAATAAATAAATAAATGGCATGTCTGTGCCAGACCTACAGACAAAGTGAGATGCATACTATTATCCCCAACTTGTATCTAAATTTGCCCTACTATAACTTTGGGTCAGAAATGTTAACTTCCAACAAGAAAGAAATAAATGACACAATGGCATTTTTCCCTCTCTAGGAAATAGGAAATATCCCTTAGGGTTATTAGTGATTAAGACAATGGATGAATTTAATTGTTATAGACAGGGTTGAATTTAGGGTAGGGTTTATACTTAAGATTGATTAACTCCATGGTTAGAATTTAGGGAGCCTCAGGCTGGTTGAGTTTTGAGGCCATGATTAGGGATAAGGTTATATGTGTACATGTAAGTGAAGAGTTAAGATTGAATTTCTGTTGGAAGTCATATCACTGTTAAGGTTGGGGGTAGGTATTGAAATTTAAGTTAGATTAGATTAACACTAGGGTTAACTCAAGTGACACTCTAGGTGCAGGTGAGGTAATGTTGACTGTTGGATGAGGCTATGTTTTTGTGAATGTTAGGTTAGGCTTATAATGCCTGTGAGAATTTATGTCTAAGTAGTTCCTTAGCACCAAAACTGTACTTCTTCCCAGAGGAGGGGGCATGGTCCTGGGGCATCACCTGGATTCTGGCCTCAGTGAGGCCTGTGTCCCGGGCAAGGCCCTCTCGGGCCCAAATGTCAGGGTACTGGTTCCTTCCAAAGGCTGACTCCAGCTGTTCCAACTGCACTGGGCTGAAGGTGGTACGGTGGCGGCGCCTGGAGTGCTGATGACCTCTCTGAACTCCTTGTGGAGAAAGCCTTGGTGTTTCCACTCCTACACCAGAGAGGTTCCTGTAGGGCTGACTGCTCATGTCTGAAGATGGAGGGGAAGGGAGAGGTTGCTGCCCAGTGGACCCACCGTCCATTCCCGGACCACATACGCTGTTCCCCACAGATTCTATTCAGTGCCTCTGTGCAGTTCATACATACTTTGCTCCTGTCAGAAACCCTTCAGCTTTTATAACTAGCTGAACCCAGCTCAGCCTTGGCCTTCCTTCACCTCTGTGTCTCCTAAGCCAGGCTTCCCTCTGCACATAGGATCAACTCGTAAGACTCTCTTTACATCCTGGGCACTCATGCTCTGACAGCCTCATCTCTTCAGCACATGTCCACCCCTATTCCACTCCCCCAGGTGCATCCCCATGTAATATGCTCTTATATGTGCCTTTCACCTCTCTGAGCACACATGCTACCCTCCTGGGTCCCATCCTGTGGATCTCTCATTTGCTCTGACACTGTAACAAACCGTCCAGGTCTCTGTCTAAGACCCCATTACTTGTTCCTGTTCTCAGGGCCAATATTCACCTTAAACCTTCTTTATACTTCTTCAATCCTCCTACACTCCTCACCTGGGAAGATAAACACTTTCCCCTCTTCCACTCAGACATACCCTCCCCCCTGTACATTTCATATTCTCCCTTATTCCGGTGCTGGCTGAGCCACTACGCTGCAGGAACCTGAGCTCGTGGGAAAGGCTTGCCTGTCCTTCCCACAGGCTCACTAAGCCTCCACATTAATTAGTCTGAGAGCCAGCTGGGGAAGAGAGAACAAGGAGTGAAAAGAAACACCTGGAAGCACACACTAAAGAAACAGACACTAAAAAAAAGGAGAGGTCTGGAGCTGAGGCTTCCCATCCCCATGGGGACCTGGCAGTATGGCCCCACCCAGTGCTCACTGTCTATCTTGGGGACACATATGCTTTAAGCCACTGGTCCCCTGCTCTCCTCAGATCCAAAACCCTGGCCCCTCCGGCTCCCTCCTGCGGAAAAGGTAGTGTAGTGGGCAAACTCTGAGGTCAGGAGTGAGGAGACAGATTTCAATTCTTCCTCTGCCCCACAACAGTATGTGTTGTTCAGCAGCTCATCAATGCCAGGGCCTCAGTTCTCCAGTCTGTAAACTGAAGGAGTTGCCCCACTCTTTCTAAGGTTCCCATGGTTTTAACATTCTAGGGTTCTGTTTTTTATTTCTTATCTTCACCTCCCTGGTGTCAAACCATTGCCCCCACAGGAGCCCATGCATGGAGAGCCTATACCTTGCCTCCTCAGGACCACCCCAGAAATTCACTCACCCACTATGAAGGTCTGAGTCTCAGCGGCTGGGCAGCTCTTGAGCCAGAGGCTGCTGCAAACTTGCCCCTTCTTTTGCTTATCCTGCTTACTCCTTTCTACTTCCATCCCTAACCACAAACACCCTAGACAGCTCAGTCTCCTGTGTCCCTGAGTCTTTAATTCTGGATCAGTCCTTCTATATTCCTATTGTTTCTCTCTATGCCTGTTACCTCACTCTTTCTCCCTCTGTTTATATCTCTCGAGTCTCTCTTCTCTCTCTCTGTAGATATAGATAGATAGATATCTTTGTCTTTTTCACTACCTCTCCTTATTTTCTAATTCCCCAGTCTTTTACCTGAGCTTCTCCTCTTTCTCTCTGCCTTATCCTCACCTTGTTTCTTTGTTTTTGTCTCTACTTTCTCTCCCTGCCCCTTCTCTCCTGGATGCCGTTCTCTCCCTTTGCTCTCAGCTGCCTCCTTGTCCTGCTTGCAATCCCACACCACTTCTTTATCCCTGAGTCTTGAAGGAATGACCTCTTCCTCACCCTGTGAGCCCATCCAATCACTGCCTGGGCACCAGAGTCCCTTCATCGGGGGTGGGAATGGTCACAAGCCAGATGAGGGAAGGTGCTCTGTTGGAGGGTCCAGGGACTGGGGCCAAGAGCTTCTATCCCCAGAGGACCAAATTCTTTTGTCCTGTTAAATCCCCTCCTGGGAGTAAACAAGGGAAGGAGGAGAAAATGCATTCTTCCTAAGACCCTTCCTCAGAACCCCATCATGGGGGGAGAGGTGCAAATGGGGGCCAGGAGCAGGGCCTACCTGACATCTCAGCCTGTGGGTGATACCCAAAGGCCTGTTTTCAGAAAAGTAAAATACTAAAAAACACAAGTGCATTCTGGCCCTTCCAAGATACCCTGATTCTCAGAATATACTAGACATCCCCTGAGAACAACTGAAGCCATAGGGTGAGTCTCCAGGATACAATAGTCCCTCCTCCAAATGTCACCTCCTCATTCACCCAGAACCTCAAGACTCCATGATCTTCCGAGGTTTCAGAAAACTCTGACTCTGACAAGCATCTGGCCCCAGCCAGTTTGGCTCAGCAGTTAGAGCGTTGGCCGGCGGACCAGAGAGTCCTGGGTTAGGTTTCCACTAAGGACACGTACCTTGGTTGCAGTTCGTCCCCGCCCTAGTTGGGGTCGTGTGGGTGGCAACCAGTTGATATGTGTCTCTCCCTTCCTCCCTCCCGGAAAAAAAAAAAGAAAGAAAAAGAAAAGCATCTGAATTCCAGGTGCATCCTGAATGCCCTGGGCCTCAGCACTCAGCAGGAGACTGAGATTGCCATGACATTCTGATTGTTCAAGGAAACCCCAATATACCCAGAATCCCTGAGCAGTCAGGACACCCTGACACCCACATTACTCTGCTTCTTGAGGTTACACAGACCCAAGAGTACATTTTGACATCCGTAGGACATCCTGACCCTTTAAAGACAACCTGATACCCTCGGAATCTAGGATCCTCTAGGGCACACTGAAACCCAGAACATTCCATTTAGGAGATCCCCCTGCCCCATTATGAAGTTCTGAGCTCTCAGGACACACTGACTAAACAAGGACACCCTAACCCCTTAGAACACACTGCATCCATACAACAGTCTGATCTCCAAGGTCATGCTAACCCTTCACACACATCCTTTAAAAGCACCCTGACAAGTTAAGACAGAAAATCATCATAATCTTCTAGGATCTTGGGGCTTGCAATATGGTTCATAAATCAAAAGCATCAGAAACATATGAGAGCTTATTAAGAATACAGAATTTTGGCCCCACCACAGTACTACTGAGTCAGAATCTGCATTTCAACAAGATCCCCAGGAGAACTGAATGTATATTTGTTTTTGTCAATTCAGGCTGCCAAAACAAACAAACAATCAAACCGGCAAAACTCCAAACAAACAAACAAAACCAAAGGTTGAGTGGCTTAAACAATAGACATTTATGTTTTATAGTTTTGGAGGCTGAGAAAGTGCATGATCAAGGTGCTAGCTGATTCAGATTCTAGAGATAGCTTGGGTTGCAGCCAGCCATCTTTTGTGTCTTCAGAATGCAGAGAGTGATGGTTTAGACAGTCTCTGGTGTCTCTTCTTCTTTATACAAAGACACTAATTCCATCATGAGAGACCCACCTTCAAGATTTCATCTAACCCCAATCACCTCCCAAGGGCCCCCACCTTCAAATACCATCATATTGGGGTTAGGGCTTCAGTTTATGAACTGGAAGGATGCACAACTTTCAGTTCGTAATAACATTAAAATTGAGAAACACTGATCCAAGACACCAACTCTTTTTTCCCTACCCTAAGATATACTGTGATCTCCTAGAGCAACCTGAGTTCCACAACAGCCATGACCTCCAGAGATCCAGTAACATGTAGTCAACCTGGATCTGTAAGCAAACATTGAATTCCAGTATACCCTGATGCATCAAGATACCCTAACACTATGAGGGAATTCTGATCACCCATCCAGAACAGCCTAATTTCCCAGGACATTTTGATATTACAAAGAAACTCTGATCCACTAGTCCTGATCTCTGAGGACACTGAGACACCATAAATTTGACTTGACAGCCCAGAATATCATAATGCCTCAGAAAGCTGGGAGATTTAGAGGCATTTGGTCTTCTAGAACATCCTGATCCCTGATCCCCCTAGCAACTGTGACCTTCAAGGAACCCGGACTCAGAAAACTCTTGTCCTGTAAGAAGCAGAGTGGTATGGTACAAAAGAGCATAGGATCTAGAGTCAGATTGCCATGGGTTCAATTTTACTGATACCTCTTACTAGCTATGCGATTCTAGCTCATTACATAATATCTCTGTTAAACAACTTTATCACTTGGAGTAATTAACACAATAGACTCTCTTTTTTATTGCTAATATTTATTTTTATTTATTGATTTTTTTAGGAATTATGCAAATTTAAGAAAAATTATATTAATTCATTTTTGTTACAGAGGTTTTTTCTTTTCCCCCCATTGACACCCTCCTCCCAATCCTGCCCCCCCCCAACATTGTTGTCTATGTTCGTTAGTTATGCATATATGCATATAAGTTCTTTGGTTTATCTCTTCCCTCCCCCCCAGCCCTCTCCTCTAAGGTTTGTCAGTCTAAACCACACTCCTTTCTATGACTCTGGGTCTATTTTGTTCATCAGCTTATTGTGTTCATTATATTCCACAAATAAGTGAGATCATGTGGTATTTGTCTTTCTCTGATTGGCTTATTTTGCTTAGCATAATACTCTCCAGGTCCCTCAACATCATTTCAAAAGATACAGGATCTTTCTTTCTTACAGCTGCATAGTGTTCTAATGTACATATGTACCACACCTTTCTTATCCACTGATCTATTGATGGACACTGGGCTGTTTCCAGATCTTAGCAATTGTAAATCGTGCTGCTATGAACATAGGAGTGCATATATTCTTTCTGGCTGGTGTTTCAGGCTCCCTATAATATATTCCTAGAAGTGGGATCACTGGATCAAAAGGCAGTTTAAATTTAAGTTTTTGAGGAAACACCATATTGTTTTCAACAATGGCTGCACCAGTCTGCATTTCCCCCAGCAGTGTACTAGAGTCGCCTTTTCTCCACACCCTTGCCAGCAGTGTTGTTTGATAATTTGTTGATGGCAGTCATTATGGCAGGTGTGAGGTGATACTTCATAGTTGTTTTAATTTGCATCTCTCTGATGATTAGTGACATTGAACATTTTTTTGTATGTCTCCTGGACATTTGTATGTCCTCTATGGAGAGATGTCTATTTAGGTCCTCTGCCCATTTTTTAAAATTGGGTTCTTTGTCTTCCTTTTGTTGAGTTGTATGAGTACTCTATATATTTTGGAAATTAACCTCTTATCTGATGTATCCTTGGCAATTATGCTCTCCCATATAGTGGGTTCCCTTTCCATTTAGATGCTTATTTCTTATGCTGTGCAGAAGCATTTTAGTTTGATGTAGTCCCATGTGTTCATTTTTTTCCTTTGTTTTTCTTTCCTTAGGCACTGTATCAGTAAAAATTCTGTGTGTAATGTCTAAATTTTTGTTGCATACATTTTCTTCTAGGATTTTTACGGATTCACATGTCACATTTAAGTCTTTTATACATTTTGAGTTTATACTTGTGTATTGAGTAATTTGGTGGTCTAGTTTTATTTTTTTGCATGTAGCTGTCTAATTTTCCCAACACCATTTATTGAATATAATGTTTTGGGTCAATTTCTGAGTTTTCTGTTCTGTTCCATTGATCTATAGGCCCATTCTCATGTCACTACCAGGCTCTTTTGATTACAATGGCTTTGTAGTATAACCTGATATATAGTATTGTGATCCCTCCTACTTTATTCTTATTTTTCAAGATTGCTGTGGCTATTTGGGGTCTTTTTGGTTCCATATGAACTTTTCAAGTATTTGTTTTAGTTCTGTGAAATATGTCTTTAGTATTTCAATGGAGATTGCATTGAATTTATAAATTGCTTGCGGTAGTATAGACATTTTAATGATGTTAAGTCTTCCAATCCATGAACAAGGTATATGGTTCCACATTTTTATATCTTCCCCTATTTATTCTTTCAGTGTCCTGTAGTTTTTTTGCAAATAGGTCCTTCAATTCTTTGGTTAAGTTTATTCCTAGGTATTTTAATATTTTGCTGTGATGGTAAATGGGATTTTTTTTAGTTTCTCTTTTTGTGAGTTCATTATTGATATATAAGAATGCCATTGATTAATTGATGTTTATTTTATATTCTGATACTTTGCCAAATTTGTTTATTAAATCTAGATTTTTGATGGAGTCTTTAGGGTTTGCTACGTACAATATTATGTCATCTGCAAATAATGACAGTTTCACTTCCTTCTTTCCAATTTGGATCCCTTTCATTTTTACTTTATGTCTAATTGCTGTGGCTAAGACTTCCAGTACTATGTTAAATAAGAGTGGGAAAAGTGGACATCCCTGAGAGATTCTTGATTACATCTTCAATTTCCTTAGTTGTTATTGGTATGTTCAAGTTTTCTATCTCTTCCTGGTTCAGTTTTGGGAGATTATGTGTTTCTAGAAATTTAT